GGCTCACAACCATCTGTAATGGAATCTGATGCTCTCTTACAGTTGTTATCTAAAGACAGCTACAGTGTACTCATCATGGCTATAAAATAAATAAACAAAATCTTTTTTAAAAATACATCTTGGCATGGGCAAACACTATTCTAATAGTGGTGTTATGGGGTAGGGGGAACCAATCATTTTCTAATTGGATTGGAGGTTCAAATCAGAGGAAATTAATGTCTGGTATGCTAAATCTGGTCAAAATATCATGGCAACAGACATCATAGGCACTAGATGACAATGTACTGCTATTGTTTTGCTAAGTGAACATGGTAACAAAATGTCATCTAAATATTTATATCTACACACAAATTTTAGTGTTGATCTCACCCTTGCACAGAAAAGTTTCAGTTTGCAATGGGAGACATTTAACACAGAAGCTCGTGACTGGTCGTAATGTAGAAAATAAGCACTGTTGGAGTTCTCAGCCCCTCCAAAGCTCCGGAAACATCACAGAAGAAAGAGCAGAAAGAATGCAAGAGGCAGTGAATGAAATGGGTGCTGTGAGTACTAACTTCTGGACATGACACGCCCACTGCACTCATGAACTCACAGCAGCTGTGGACACCTACACAAGAGCAAGCACCTCATCATTCCATCATGGACGGGGAAGGTTCCCATGAGATGCCACCTCCTTAAGGAGGTGTTTTGGAGGAAGAGAGAGATGTTTTTCTTCAGTTGTGCAGCCATTGGACAGTTGACCATTCTCTAGTATGTAACTCCTGCATTTATGCTTATGCAAGCGACCCTAAGTAAACTCACAAGTCACAAAAAAGAAAAATCCAGAAACTTAAAAACAGGAAGAAGACTGGTTGAAGATAAACAGGGATTCCACATGAGTGGGAGGGAGAAGAGACAGGGAAATGTGAGGTAAAAATGACCAGAATTCATTATCCATTCCTATGACTGTCAAAAAAATAAAAAGGAACAAAAAGGAACTACATCTTTAAACACTGAAAATCCATTCAGGATAATGTTGTGTTCTATCTTCCAAAAGTACATTTCATTTGAAATGCATTGAAACTGGATACCAGCCCCACACTTAAGTGGGGCATAAACTACTTGAGGAAAAAGGAGGAAAACACTCTATATTTAAATGCTCATATTTTCTTCCCATGTGACTTCCCCTCTCCTTTCTTTTCTTCCCTCCCTCTGCCATTCTCCTCACAGAATAGAAATGGATACAAACCATACTTAGATCATCTTTCTATAACAGACATCATAACATACACAATCCTGCAGAGTGCAGAGTGGGTTCCTGTTCTGGTACCTTTCAGGGCAGGATTCCTTAGGCTCTGGCCAGTGCTGTGGGTCACGGTGAAGAGCATAAGAAGGAATCATCACTGTTGACCCTTTGGGCATAAACACACCATCAATTTCAACATCCTTTTTACAGACTCGCTCAAGTCAATTAGCAATTGGGTATACTCTGAGGGTTTCATTAAGGACCATATCAAGGTACTCTATTTCCATCACGATATCAGAGGTGGGAGATTCCTGAAAAGAAAGAAAAAGATTTGTGCTGAGATTTTAGATTAATATTCAATTGTATCTAGTGTTAAATTCTCAGCATTCCGAAAGTCAAGATCAGCAGGTTAAAGGACTTTAGTTAGTATTTACAATACTATTTTAAAGGGTTTTTTAATAATTGTTTTATTTCATATATGTAGATGCTTTGCTTATGCACATTTGAGTACACCATATGAGTACAGTGCCAACAAGAGCCAAAAGAGGCCATCAGATTTCCTGTAACTAGATTCAGAGCAGTTGAGAGCTGCCATTATCATGCTGGGACTCAAATATGGATGGACCCTACAGAAGACGAGGCAGTGTTCTTAACCATTGTGCCATCTCTCAAGCTCCTTACAAAGCAGAATAACTATCACTTAGTGCCTCAAAAATGCTCAATGAAAGAAGGGTCTACTATGCAAGCCTGAGGATGAGAGCTCAGATACAAATCATTGTAAAGCCTGACATAGTGGCACCCATCTATAATCCCAGCAGTAGGTAGACTTAGACAGGACATGTGTGGTGCTCACTGGCTAGACAACCTAACCCAATCTATATTCTGAGGTTTGGTAAGTGAGCCTGTATCACAAAACACGGAGGAGGGTGATTTAGAAATATACACTATGTAGATCTGTGACCTATACACACACACATATATGTGTGCACAAATTAACATACATACATATATACATACATACATACATACATACATACAGATACATGTGTGCACAAATTTACATATATACATACATACATACACACACACACACTGAGAGAGAGGGCGGTAGTTTCGCTCATGATTTAGACACCAAGTCTCACACCTTGGCTTCTTCTCCTATAACTATGAATAGATAGGGGGAATCATGGCACAGAGCTGAGTTAGCACAATCAAGGCCAAGGTGAGCCTACCTTAAAGCACAGCTAGGACACAGCAGATCCAGTAGTATCATTGAATCATGCAGAGTTGTATGTTAAGTGCACATCTTTAACATCACACACGTTGTGTACATGTTGCTTGCGTGGTACTATTGTGGTCCTAGATAACAGACACACAAGGTCCAGCCCTTTGTCACAACAACCTTCTGTTGCCATTAGAGGATTAATTGTAAATTTTTTCATCTATGGCCCTTTAATGATAATTTCTAAATGATGCTTGGAAAAACCAGTGCTTATGTTCTTGTTACAAATTATCAAGGGCTGCTCAAATAGCTCAGTGAGCAAAGCACCTGCCACTAAGCCTACTGACGTCATTTGGACCCTTAAAACACATGTAGTAGAAAGAGAGAAGAAATTCCTTCAGGTTACCCTTTGACCTACACACATATGCTACAGCACAAATGCCCACATACATATATATTCATATACATACATAAGTACATATATGTGTATGTACATATGTACATAAATAAATACATACATGTATATGTACATGTGCACATACATACATACATACATACATACATACAAAATGTAAAAAAACACAAGAATTAGAACATGGCTCAGTGGTGTAAATACTTACACTCACACACAAACACTCACACAAAAACATATACACACCACACACACAACATACATACAGTAACTCTCACACTGTCTCTCTCTTGCCCTCTTGCTCTCTCTGTCTGTCTCTCGCTCACTCACACTCATACACACACACACACACACTCAACACACACGAACATACGCACACACACAACATTGCAGGTAACAAGAAAGTGTTTCTGTTGATGATTCTCCTTTTCCCTATTACACCATCTTCTCACCTTATTGAGCAGAGCCCTGTCGATCTCCTCCTGCAGTTTCTTCTGGATATCAGGGTGAGTGGCCAGGGAATGCAGGACAAAGGAAAGCGTGCTGCTGGTGATTTCATAGCCAACAAAAATAAAGATTACTGACTGGGCTGTGATCTCTGTGTCAGACAGGGCTGGAAGTAAACAAATATCTCGGGTAAGCCATGTCATGATAGACCATCACAGAGGGCATGAGGAGAAAATAAATGAGCCTCCATGTTCCTAGAGAGGCTATGGAAATGCCATTCAGTCACACTAAAACTATCGTCACCATGACAACTTAGTGACAGGTTCAAAAAGGAAAAAGTTTCAGGCAGGTTGTCCCAATGTTAATGCTGTTTCTTATCATCTCCAGTGGGCAGTTTCAAGACATGGACTTCCTTTTTTTTGTAAATTTCATTTTTATTTAGGAGTATTTCTGTATGTGAGGGGGTGCCATGTGTTTGGGGAGGGTGCCCATGGAGCTGAGAAGAGGGCATCTAATCCCTTAGAGAAGGAGTTACAGAAGGTCCCTGACATAGATTAAGGTGGTTTTTTAAATTTTATTTATTTATGTGTGCTTGTCTAACTTCCTGTAGAAGCCAGAAAATGTCATTAAAGCCCATAGAGCTAACGTTACAGTTAGTTGTACATCTACCATGAATGATGCGATTATGTTAAATTATGGTAAATTCTTTTAGCAATCAAAAATGAAACAGAAGGCCTGAGGATATGCACTTCAGGAGATGGGCTGCTTCCCTAGTATTTAGGAAGCCCTGGGTTCAGTCCCCAGCACTCTATACACCAGGGTTAGGTTTGTGTTCCAGATTACACTGGAAGATTGACTGGAGAGAAGAGAGCCAGTCATGGAGAATTCTGCTTCTCATTAGCAGGGAGAATCAGCCCCTCAAGAACTGGACACTGACCGCTTCCCAGAAGCTCTTTTTATTGTTACACAAAAGACAAGTTTTAGCAAGTCAATTTCCACATACCCAAAATGTCTCATCTGATCGAGGGCTTATCTTGAGAGACCCATCACCTAAGCAGGTCTCAGCCATAGGAGACTGCTGTGTTTGCCAGGCTTGCCTTCACACTAAGTTAAGCACAGGCTCTGGGAATATTTCCAAAGAACACCATAAAATCTCATATAACAATCACTGACAAAGGAATACTTCAAAACTGAGGTGCCATCACTCCACATTTGTGCCAGATACAGTACTTTTCTGCTAAAACACTGCTGCATAGTAGCACATGCCTTTGGTCTCACGAATTAAAGGTCATTCTCAAGCACATTGTGAATGTGGGTCAGTCTGGGCTACGTGGACAATGTGGAAAAGGAGGAGGGGATATAGAAGGATTTGAAGTAATCTGATCACATGAAAGGGTTTCAAGTGGGCAAACAGGAGAAATCTTGAAACAAAGTATTCAATCACTTTTAAAAGTAAACATGGTGACACAGAATCATACTGCTACATATGAGTAAGTGGGAGGTGGGATAACCGAATAGGTGAGAATGGAAGACTCTCTTTCCTTTAGCTACTTATTCACACGTGTAGAACAAAGTCTGGAATTGGAATGGCATCCGTTTGCAGCCATGAGAGTAATAATAATTTTAAATTAAAAGAATAAACACTGGCGGGGAAGCACACTCATATAACCACAACTCTGTGGACCATTAGGATCTCCTGGCTTCCAGCCTAACCTAAAGTTTAACAAAAACAAAAACCAGACAAGCAGTGGTGGTACACACTTTTTATCCCAGCACTTGGGAGGCAGAGTCTGGGGATTTTTGAGTTCAAGGCCAGCCTGGTCTACAAAGTGAGTTCAGGACACCTAGGGCTACACAGAGAAACTCTGTCTCGAAAAACATAAATAAATAAATAAATAAATAAATAAATAAAACTCTGTCTCCCAGGAAACAAGACAGAGAGGGATTGAGTAAGATACTGTCTGCTTTCATCTGTTAACTATTCACACACATAGGGGTATGCACATGTGTACATACTTCTGCACTTGCATGTAATACAAAAACAAGATTAAAAATCTGTAAGAGTTTTTAATGGGTTTTTGAGATATGGTTTCTTTGTGTAGCCCTGTCTGTCCAGGAATCTACGATTTAGACCAGGCTGGCCTTGAACTCATAAGGATCCATCTGCCTCTGCCTCTCTGCCCAGACCTGAATGATTTTTTAAATACATAAAAGAATGAAGAGGACTAGTGCACTTGTACACAGGGGCTTTCCCCAGAAGCTACTTAGATATCACACAAAGGAAAAGTAAATCTTTGCCATGGATTAAGCTAGAGAGCGCATGACCAACAGGGGATCCCATAGAGGTTCAATAGCATTTAGGTACATCCCCCATGACAGTATGTTTAGACACCGATGTCTAGGCAGATTGCATGCTGGGAAAGACACAAACAGCACCTATGCTCACCCAGGTAACAAACAGACAACTGGAGATGTCCATCATGGCCACCCTTCATGTTAGGAGCCAACTTTTGCCATGAGCATCCAGAAAATTCCATGTTGATAATAGCCACATCTGTCTTTCTGCAACTCAACAGAGGTCATGCTCTACCTAGAAAAGCCTCTTTACATATTTTCTGAGTGAACCACTGGCTCCCTGAGAGCTTCCTTGTCCATTGCCCAGGAAGGGCTTGCTTACCTTGATGAGACACTTTGTCTTTGGAATTATTATGAGCATTCATCATCAGATGAAGAAAGTCCACTCGGTGCTGGAAGCAGAAAGAGAAGTTGCAAAAATGGAAGGTCAATACTAAGGTCAGAGGTCAGAGGTGAATCAGGAGTGCAGAAGCTTTATTTTCTCATTTCTGAGAACGTGGTTCTCTTAAATTCACAACTGTGGCTAGAATTGCTTGAGTCCTCAAGGAGCAAAACCAGGAGTGGCTAAACCAGGAGCCCTCCAGCTTCCACACCAACCTCTTTTACAGTCAATTACAATAGATAGAATTTTAAATAAACACTTTTATTCTTTGAAAATGTTATTGAAGGAAAGGAAAATAATATTCCCCTTTTTAATCATTTTTATTGGTTATTAGAGAGTTTCATACATGCACACAGTCAGACATGGTCATCTCCACCCCACTGTTTCCTCCATCCAATTCCTTCTATATCATCGGTAACATTTCTTCCTCCACAGTCCATGCCCTCTCCTTACTTACCCACTGAGTCCAACTAGTCCTGATTACACATGCATGGCTGTGGGGCCATCCAATGCCTCATGGGAAACCTACCTGTGTCCACACCCTCCCTCCACAGCTATCAACTGCCATTGTTCCTCAGCAAAGGGCAGAGTTTGGAGAGATCCTTTCCCATGTGTGCTGGAGTTTTGACAGTCTTGATCTTGTTCAGGTCTTGTGCCAGGCCAATTTTTTTCTTTATTTCAATCCTTATGAGCAGTACCCTAGTTTTCATTCCTATTGCTAAGGGTTAATTCCTGCCTTATTTTCAATCAACTTTCTAAAAACCCAACCTTTCCTCCTCCAGAAAATATAAATATTCTTTCTTTCTAAATCTAGCCTTCTCTGTCTAGTGTTAGCACACAGTTCACATGTACACAGCCCAACATGTTATCACACTGTGACCCTCTCATAAAACCACCACGTTTTACCTTCTGCTTAGAATCCATACAGTTTTCCTTCATTCTGTCCACAAATTTTTTGAAAAATGCTATTGAATCCTTAGGGAACATAGAGGTATTTAACATTTCATATATTGGGGTGAGGAATGGAAAGAATACTAGAAAACAATTAAACCTAAGTTTTAATTAAAAGGCAAGTTTCATATAAAGAAATCATAAAGCAATCTCTAGAATAAGACACCAGTGTCTCAACCAAAAGTCATTCTCTCTGCCACCTTGCTCACACTAGGTCAGCACTATACTTCTTTTTCTGTGCTTTGGAGTAGCCAAAGCTGCAACCTGACTCTTAAATTTATCTCTGCTCCTGGAGTTCATGTGGATTCAGAAAAAAAAAAATACAGGGGCCATTAAGATGGCTCAACAACAGAAGGTTCCTGCAGACAAGCCTAATAACCTGAGTTTGATCCATGGATTCCACTCTGTAGAAGGAAAGAACCAACCGCTGCAAGTTGTCTTCTAATCTCCACATGCCACACAAACACCAAGGCATTCACATGTGCATGCATGCACACAAGAACAGCCAAGAGAACCCTGTGTCAAAAAAAGAAAACACCCAAGCTCAAAGACAGGTGAGCAAAAAGCATGAAGAATGAAAAAGCACATACTCTCCTTCACTTCCAGATTCTAGCTTATATGAATAAATATGTAAACAGGTCTAAGTGTAGATATCATCTAACACTTAAAAGCTGACACCAAGGATAATATTAGGTAACAAGGATGGAATGTAGGCAAAGGGACACATGAGCTGTGCATGGAAATATAATTAACATGGAAAGTATTAACCCTAAATGACACACCATGGTTAACTGTTCCCAGAATATGAATATGAATATATATGTACATATATAACCACTTAGCACTCCCAGAAGAGCCAGTTTTGATTCCCATCATCCACATGTTTGCTCTCAACCACCTATAACTCCAGTACAAAGAGATTCAAGACCCCATTATGTCTTCTTTAGGCACTTCATGCATGCAGACAAAACAACAATTCACAGAAAATAAAATAAAATAAAATAAATCTTATAAAAATGATGAAGCAATTAAGCTACGTAAAAACAGATCTAGCCAGGCAGTTGTAGTGCATGCCTTTATTCCTTGCACTAAGAAGGCAGGGGCAGGTTGAGCTAGGTGAGTTCAAGACGAGCCTAGTATGCAGAGTGAGTTAGGGAATATACAAAGATGGAAAAAAATAAAAACCCTGACCCTACAATCTAAGAGAGAGAGACACAGAGAGAGAGAGAGAGAGAGAGAGAGAGAGAGAGAGAGAGAGAGAGA